TATGAAAATAATCTCGCAGAGAAGTGGAATATTGAAGATATCCGTGGTCCGGTCGGAGCCCGACCTAATGAAGACCTGTTTTCATGCAAGAAGTGTACTGTAGGTCCAATAACTTAAAATTATATGCCCACAAGTAAGATTTGAGGTCATCACGGCGGTGACTATGAAGAATGTCGTCTTCTGGGATGTGGCGCCGTGTAGATTATTTTGTTAACCGACGTTTTGGAGGAATTTATTGTCTGCAGGGCGAGCGATGAACCAGCGTGAGCAGGTGGAGGCGATACGTTCCTCCGAAACGTCGGTTAACAAAATATCCACATGGCGCCATATCCCAGAAGACGGTACTTTTACATGCCCACACATTCACACATTCACACATGCCCACCGACCTCCAAGTTCATATTTCTGAACTTAAAGTCAACCTGTTTCATACAGAAAATTGTATACAATTCATCATACGGCTTCCACTCATAAACCCCTGAAAGGGGTAATAAATAATCGTAGTGAGAATAAGAAAAGTAACGTGAGCAGTCTCTAAGGCCCCACGCTGCTATAATAATAATAATAATTAATTTCAATTATTTACGTGCCGAGTCAACAGCCACAAGGCCAATTACAGACAGCACAGTGTAGATACAAGAAAATACATTATGGACAGACACAACATAAAGTCAAAGTAAAATTACAGGCAAGAACTGGAGGAAAACACATTAATGTAGAGAAGTAAACAAATAATAATAATAATAATTCAATTCAATTCAATTCTTTATTATTAATGTGCCGAGTCAACAGCCGCAAGGCCAATTACAGACTCAGCACAGTGTAGATGACTGAATTACATTACATACAAACTTATTAAAAGTCAAATACAAATTACAGTTAAGTAATTGGAAGAAATAATAATAATAAAAGTAAAAGTAAACAAACAAATAAGTGATAATTATAACAGTAATAATAATTCCATTATCATTAAACTAAGTGCTATTACGAATAGAGGAATGAAACATTAATATTTAATTAAGAGTTGAATAGTATAGATTTTCTGAGGAAAATTACGTAATTCATTTTGCTTTACTGAACATGCAAATAATAAAAATACTAACAGTTATACTGTATTTAAAATTTGTTTGGGTAGAACATTCCTGGCTCCGAATACGTCAACCTCCCTGCAGACAACATTAGCAGCTGCTGCGCATCTAGCAGAGGGACAATTCTTAAATAAAGGGCAAACATTGAACAATGCAAAATCTCTGATATACCGAGCAGGAACTCGGAGACCAACAATTTCCAGGACAGAAGGGCAGAATTTAGAGCCAAAATAAACTTGAATAAGAAAGAGAGCATCAAGGCGATGTCTCCTAGTACATAAAGTATGTAATTTTAACTCCTCAAGAGCAAGAGAATAATTGTAGTGAACTTTAGGAAAGAAACGTTTAAAACATAGGGCCGCAAACCTCTGCTGGATGCGTTCCAGCTTGTTGAATAATAATAATAATAATAATAATAAAGGCTCCTATGGAGGCGGGTTAGAATACCCCCACTGTAGCCCTGCGAGTCGTAGAAGGCAAAGGAAAGGCTTCGCTGCCTGGTGGCAATGGACAACCCTGTCACTAAGGAATACAAAAAGAGACACCTGGTCGTCCAGGTTGTGAGTTGGACGCAAGGCTGACGATCTTCTAAGGAAGGTTGTTGTTCGAAAGAGGCTGTTTTGCCAATGAAGAAGATTAAGAATAATCCACCAATCAGGAAGCCGGGTCACTAGTTGGCCCATTTCGGCCTCATTCGGCTATTCAACAGTCTTCCTGTGTTCCTTGTTCTTTGGGATTTCTGACCTATAGGCTTACAATGCTTGGTCGCACGTCCTAGTTACGTGTTCAATGGAAAGATGTAGCAGTAGTAGGTAATGGGAGTAAACTCCGGGCAGCAGTGAAAACGGTCTCTATGTTTCAGTCGGTACTGCAATCTCGACTTTTGCCGCGAACAAATTTATTTTTTTTTCCACAGTGTGCATATTCAGTAAAATAGCATTTTAATATATAAAAGACTGGCTCAATTTGCGACACCCTCTATCCGCTAAAGTTGGCTCTAACTTCGCCGACAAGAGGCGGTCGGTCGGTAGGTATAGTTCGCTTGCCGACTAAAGCCATGGAGGTTTCTGTTTTGTTTAAGGCTGGCTCAATAGAAGAGTGATCTGTGAGACCTGCTGAACAAGACGGGAAGTACAGATATCAGCCAGACATTGTTAGTTTATAAATTTTATAATCTTAGTATAAATGCCACTGCCTCTTTGGTCTAGTGGTCAGAGTTCCTGGTTACAGATCCAGAGGTCTGGGTTCGATTCCCGGCGCTACCAGATTTTCTGAGAAGTAGTGCGCCTGGAACGAGGTCCGCTCAGCGTCGTAAGGATAATTGGGGAGCTATTTCAAGGAAATAGCGGCTCCGGTCTAGAAAACGGAAATTAACGGCCGTGGGGATTTGTTGCGCTGACCATGCGACACCCTCCATCCGCTAAAGTAGGCACGACCATGCGACACCCTCCATCCGCTAAAGTAGTCACTAACTTCGTTGACAAGCGGCGGTCGCTCGGTCGGTATAGTTCGCTTGAGGACTAAAACCACGGAGTTTGTTTTGTTTGTAGCATAAATGCAGCCCCGTATTTTCAAAGCTTTTCAAGTTATTAATCCTAAATATTTTATTGCTTGTTTTTAACGATTTCCTACTGTAATTTCAACAAGGGGTATACTAAATTTTAGTTGTTTCGGAAGTCAGTTTCTTTGCATTACGTCGACAAACTGACTCGACCTGGCTTTATATTTCGAAATTTTATGCAATATGGGTCCTATATTTAATTCCCTTAATATGTTTTAATCTCTTTTATTATTCGTCCAAGTGTTTTTCGCTGCTCGTTTCATAAATTTCACAGCTGTAATTCGAGTTTATCGTCTGCTTTCATTGTCCACTATTCATTCCCATATAAAACTGCTAGTAAAGCTGAGGTATAAAAAAACCTTTATTCTAGCATTCCTGGATTTCTTATGGCTTAAAAATTGTAAAGATTAGGCCTATTACATTTTACTTCTTGTAGATTCTCGACTGTGAAATATAATTTAGTTTTATTTTTTACGGAGAACGTCATCCAATATTTGCATATTAACTGACTAAATTTAAAAGCTTTTCAATGAAGAAATTTGTTTTTCGAGTTTGGCGTCAAAACAACACAACTGCAAAGAGGAGGGCATATACACGTAAATATGTATTTCCTGATATTTTATTCTTTTTATTTCCTCCATTTCCTCACCTGAAATTAGAGTGTAGGCCTGTAAGTTGGTGACAGTGCGAGCCCTTGCTGCACCACAGCTAATGAACGTGGGCACAGATAACGCTAAGTTAAATACAATTTTTATTAGACGTGGAATATTCTGGTCTCTGAATACATATATCGAGTAGGTTCAATATGTTCTCTGTGTGCCAGCAAACACAGTAATGTGATCCTAATTCCTGTTCTCTTTCTCTTTTCTATGAATTATCTAAAAAACAAAATTCTGAGTCTCTAGATGGAAGAAATTTTCTAAAACAGTTTTTGGCTTCAGATAATAAACTGTTAGGAACATTTTTCTATCTTTTATTTTTAAAGAAGTTGAGTATATTGTGGCATGACGCCTGAAAGCCGGTATAGTTCATTGCTAGGTAACGGCTCGGTAAACATGTTCCCGTAGAAGAGAACGCGCGCAACAATAGAAGAGCGGTGTTTTCTGTGGTTCGCATTACGCTCGTTGCTATATGACGGTGCGGAACCCACATATCTGCAGCAGTGAATCAATATGCGACAATAGAGAAAGCGGTGTTTTCTGTGGAGGCCGCCCTGCGGCTATATAACGAGGATATCAGGCAGCCGAGAGATAGAACTGAGCCAGTCTCTTGAGACGGAAGTCGAAGATGTCTGAGAAAAGAAATTGCAAGAAAGGAATTAGGCTGTACAAAGACGACTTCATATGTGTTGCAGTTAGAGTAAGACTGGTTTAACTACTATGTTGAAATCCGTTGCCAGGATACGACTAGTGAAGATTGAGGACACTGGTATGTGTGTGTGTGTGTGTAATGGCAAACTGTAAAGTCTGTGTATCAGCTATAGCACTGTATTACTTGTTAAGAGTTGAATGTATAAGTACAATACATCCAATCATCCAATCCAAAACCTGTCTATAAATCACGCACACACCCAGAACGTGACAATATACTGTGAGTAGGCTTGTTCCTCCACATTTTTTTTTCTCTATAAATCATCCTACACGAAATAAGAAAACGGAAGGCTAATTGGATGGGGCATATCTTACGCAGTAACTGCCTTCTAAAGGAAGTTATTGAAGGAAAGATAGAGGGGCGGATAGAAGTGACAAGAAGACATAAGAAGATGCTGGATGACCTTGGGGACAGAAGAGGATATTCTCATTTGAAGGAGAAAGCTCTAGATCGCATTAAGTGGAGGAATTGTTTTGGAAGAGACTGTGGACCTGTCGTCTTGACAGATTACTGATGAATGAATGAAATCAGACGTATCATGTCCAGTAGTTACGTAGACCTAGACACACCACTGCTTCGCTTCAAATGAATCTTATCTCAGTGGTCATTACGGAAAACACATTCCATCTCTTCACCATAATCAACTCCTCACCCCCCCCCTTTTCAGTCAACTTGAATGAGACGAGACAAGAAATGAAGCAATGAAGAGAGAAAATTTGATTAAGCCGATCAAAGCAGCCTCATGGTAAATGGCGCGTAAGACAGTTCGATCATCACGGTCGCGGGTGCGACACCTTCTCAGGGCATACACGTATTCCATTCCCGTTTGTGTTGTTTTGTACTGTGCAGATAAACCGATCCCACATCAAGAGCATCCTACCAATCACTGAATGATTCACTGCTCTCTGAATTAATTCTCTGTCGGAACAGGTCAGGCGTCCCAATCCGCAAAAACTTGAAAAGAAGAAAACAGAACTCACCTCTGACTTCCCTTTGGACACGCAATTGGCAACATTGCTTGGTTCTAAGCTCAACGAGTCCCGCTGAAACAGACAGAAGAAAATATATTAAACCAAGAGAATGTGATGAACAACTTTCAGCAGCACAATTGATACAGCGAGGTATAAGAGAATAGGGCAGGGAATATAAGATTCTTTGCGCTGACCACGTAACACCCTCTATCTGCAAAAGTTGGCACTAACTTCGTCAACAGGCTGCCGTCGCTCGATCGGTATAGTTCGCTTGCGGACTACAGGCCATGGAGTTTGTTTTTGTTTTATATGTAGCGAAGTTCGATTTGTGCTTCATGTAAAGTAGAAATTATACCGCACTGATACGAACCAACGGAATAACGTTCATCCTATCCACCATAACAAATTACAGCGGAATCGGGCAAGTAGTTAGGGAGATGAAACATGGATACGGGCATTAATCCCAGTTATGTTTCGAATTTATGTATCAGTCTAATTTTGCGTATATTAAATCCGTATATAGCGGGATAAGACGTCAAACTTTCATGGCCTGGGTTACCTGATCTGAACAATCCCTAACAGTTTAAAACCCGAATAAATTTCCGAATAAAAAGATACGTACACTTTAAATATTGGGAAATCTAATCACAATATGTGACAACAGTAAGTACAATTTTAATGCAAACTTTATAACTTGACAACATAGGAAATCAAGAATTTTGCAAATAGTTATGTTAAGATAAACAGTTTGAACACGTTTCAACAGAACTAGTTAGCATTTATAACTGAATAGAAATGCAAACGGGCAGACGGGAAACTGTAACGTAACTTTTCATTAAATTCGCAATTTCCAACTGGAATACAGTGCGTCTATGAATGCTGTTTCCGTTGCCGGAGATCGGTACATAAACGCAAAATCCAGTACTGAGGAATACAACAAAAGTATATATAACTACTTGCATGCAGAAACAACCAAGCAAGATGTTGTAGGGGTAGGGGTCTAGGCTTTTATGCGGGATGTTATGAACTCGAGTATAATTCTCTATAGGTGAATGTTGGAATAATAAACAGGTCATGACCGCCTCCTTCCAGATATTTACCTCATCATAATTTATTAACATTTTCCTGTTTTATTCAATGGCATGAAAAACGTCGAGTAACCAAATGATCTGGCTGTGCCACAGCTCAGGCGGCTCGTTGCCGGCTTCCCACCGCGGCCCGGGTTCGAGAACAAGTGCGGTGGACAAAGTAGCGCTAAGGCAGGTTTTCTCTGAGTATTTCGGTTTCCCCCGCCAATTCTCATTCCAACTGCTCAAAACTCATCACCTATCATCCGGGGTTGGTCCAATTGACCATTTAGTGGCCGACGTGTGGACTCAGTCTCAACGCCCCCTCCAAGAAACTTAACTAATACAAAAAAAAACCTAACCAAATGGCCAATCAATCAATCAATCAGTGTTAGTTTCTCAAAGACTGTGTTTCGTTTCGTTTCCTTTGTAAGACTTCCGCAATTATGTTATTGTTTCCGTTTCAAAAACGGAAATAAACATGTAGTAAGAATGTACAGAAACATATTAGGAAAATTAGCAATGTATTTATAAACCCAAAGGCAAAAGAAACACAGATCGTCCCAGAAAGAGACAGAAAGAGCAGCTGTTTGGAAAAGTGCTGATGTAATACAGCTCGTAAGCCTAACAATTCAGTTAGTTCGGTAAGAACAGAAAATCTACACATCAAATATGACTACGTTTAAAATTCCTTGAATATGAGGAAAGAAAGAAAGAAAGAAAACAACATATCAAAAACTGCAAATACAATAAAATTAGGGAGGAATGCGATAACTGCTTCTTTTTCAACAGGTTTTAAAATATTTTCACGCTCCCCAAATCTTTCATTAAAACAGAAGACAACGAGAGTTAGAAACCAGAATACAGACTTCACCTACAAGCAGAAGGCGGCCATGTGAACACAATTATGCAACAGAAAGAACGGAGCGCTAACAGAATTATGACGGACTGTCTGCTCATCTGGCCGGACACTAATGAAGTAATTGCCACAAATTATTCACATCCATTCCACTATGGAAGAGCGATTACACGGGCTGAGAGAGGAGATACATGAGAAAACTGCAACTCTTTTTTTGCAACAACAGTGTCAACATCGTTACGAATCTACTATACACAAATCCATACACAGGATTTGTAGTTGCACTGGGAAATGAGTTGCAAATTAACAGTAACTGAAGTTTATGTGTGTGGTGGCCGCCAATTCATCTGTGAAAATAAACACAGACAGAACTGCCACAGAAGAGGGTACATTGTTTTATTTAAATCAAACATGAGAGATGTCAGGTCAGAAAAACAACTGGCGTAATTCGCTACTTTAAACTAAAAACATAAACAGTGTGATCAATTATACACAAAATTCGTCATATAATACATCAGGTCTCAACACACTGAGGCTTTTAGAGCGGTGTCTTCTGGTGATACCGTGTATATACTGTCTTGTGGCAAGAGGCTTCATATCTGCTGCATACCGGTTTCTTGCTTGGCGTATTCTTCGACCCTGAAGATGAAAATGATATGAAGAATGTCGTCTTCCGGGATGTGACGCCGTATAGATTTTGTGTGAACCGGCGTTTCGGAGGTATATATCGCCTCCATCTTCAGGGTAGAAAAGTTCGCAAGCGAGGAACCAGCGTGAGCAGGTGGCTGCAGTCGAATAAGTCTTAAGGAAAGAGACAATTCTGTAGATCTTAGCATGGATGGGAGTATACGAGTAATACTAAAATATCTTAAAGAAAATATTTCAATGATGATTACAGGATTCATCTGCCACAGAATGGCTACTGTAAACACAATAATAAAATTCGGCGTTACATTAAAGGAGGGAATTATCTTCACTAGTTGATAAACTATCATTTCAAGGACCCCGCACAATCAGGTTCTAGGTGCATAGTTAAATACTGTATATGATACCATATCGCAATGGATATATTTGTTGCAATTACTGAAAGCTAATCAAACTCATTAATTATTACAGTAATATATTCAAGAGATTACTAATGGTATTTGAAGGGTAACGGAAATTATGCCATGACTGAAACGGGAGTGACAATCTCATATACACCATCGATTAGATTAAACCCCCATCATCAGATTATGAACAATTAACTAGATACAACTGGCAATTTGACCATGACCGACAAACTGCACAGAACGCACTCATATGCATGGAGAGAGCTGGCAGAACAGGAAGGACATAACATTTCCTTTCGGGGCGAAAATAATTATCTTCATTTCAAACGTTATTAATTTTGTTGCCCTCTCATCTATCAGGTACACTGCTTCTAGCTAGACCTCGCGGACGTGTCGAGTTTACCACGACAATTCGCGTTCACTGAAAGCCAACTGCTACTTTATGATACGTACTCAAAATGCCATGAAGTCAAGACTATATATGCGTACAGAATGAACAAGCCATCATGATTAAGTTGTCAGTGTTTAATGTTAATATATAATCTAAACTAAATGACTTACTTTTTGTTTATTGCTAGTGGGGTGGGACTAAGTCCCTTGTACTGCGGCCACTTCTGGCCTATTGTACCAGCCCCAGATGATAGGTGAGGGTGATTGTGGTGCAATTGGTGGAATGAAGATTGGCAGAGGAAACCGAAGTACGCTCCGGCCTCGCTTTACTACCCAGGAAAATTATTTAATTAATTCCTGGTACTCCTTTCTGTTACAGGCTGAGTCGACCCCAGGTCCATAGTACGGCCGGAAGGATTAGGTCATTTGAAAAAAAAATCCAATGACCTCATCGGGACTTGAACCTGCGACTTTCTGGCTTGTAGCATAGTGCCTCAACAAACTACGCTACGTAACCAATGGATAAATAACACACCACAAAATACATTTTAATTATTTATGTTATAATGTAGAGGTCAGTAAATGGGGTCAATAATTATAAAATGCTGAACTACAGAAGGGAATTTGTAAGATTACGTTACGGGTCAGAATGCTGCACTCTGAGAAGGTGCTACAGACAATAGGGATGTGCTGTGTGGGCGCAGTGCGCGGACACCAACCGCTCATTAGTTCCACACTGCATGCCCTGGGCGGTGTGAGGAGAACTGCACTACATCACTTCTTAAGTGTTGATATAATTAATTCTATTTTGCACTTCAAACTTGTACAAGTTGTGAAGCCAGGACTCCTAACCTAGTGTTGTCTGAATGATTAATACAAGGTTTGCATGGAATTTAGCCGGATGGCTGTATTCGGGAAGTTCGGTTCGAATTTGGGCCCGGAAAATGGTTGTCCCGACCGAGTTTTCGTCGTGTTCCTAAGTTCCTGAGGCCAATGTGGAGAGAGGCAAGGAACAGATCCAGTTAATTATATATCTACCATCCTGCCATCAGGCGCATTATAGGCTATGGCAGTAACAGCGTCGTTAAGTAAAGAATGCAAATATGTATTACGGGAGCGGTATGGAACATGTGTTGGAGAAACGAGAAGTCCGACATAGTCCGGAAGCTGCAAAAAAGACGCTATATAGGAGACATATGTAAGATAATATTAAGATCGATCTTCGAGAAATTGCGTAAGGAGCTGGAGACTAACTACAACTGACTCAGGACAGGCTCCAATGGTGGGTTTTGTGAACACGAGAATGAAGTGTAAAGTTCTTAAAAAAGGATATTTCCTGATCGGTTAAGTGACTATCAGATTTACAAGGAGAACTCTGCATTGTGTAGCTGTAGACGTGACATTCAGTACGTAAGAATGAGACATATGGGAGTTCTCAAGAAGTAATGGAGACACGGGTTTGACAGTTTTATACATGGAAGGTAGAAATTGGTAACACTG